GCAGAAAAAAGTAACGACAGCTTGAATTTTGCAGGAAAATGGATAGGGCTAGAAAACATTATTTTGAGTGAGGTAACCCAGACACAGAAAGACAATTATCACATGTGCTCACTCTTAGGTGGTTTTTAAACATAAAGCAAAGAAAGCCAGCCTACAAACCACAATCCCAGAGAACTTAGACAACAATGCGGACACTAAGAGAGACTTACATAGTTATAGTCTACATGGGAAGTAGAAAGTAGAAAAAGACAAGCTCTCCTGAGTAAATTGGGAGCATGGGGACCTTGGGGGAGGATTGAAGGGAGGAGGGGAGAGGCAGGGAGGGGAGCAGAGAAAAATGTAGAGCTCAATAAATATCAATAAAAAAAATTATATACACACACAAAAATAAAAAATAAAAAAGATTTATTTGGGGCTGAAGAGATGGCTCAGAGGTTAAGAGCACTGACTGTTCTTCCAGAGGTTCTGAGTTCAATTCCCAGCAACCACATGGTGGCTCACAATCATCTGTAATGAGATCTGATACCCTGGAGAAAACAAGTGAAGAAAGGAAGGGTCTGTTTTGGCTCACAGTTTGGATGCAATCCATCATGGCAAGGGAAACAGCTCTGGCTGTGCCACAGTTAGAGGCAGCTGGTGATGTCATCAACGGTGAGGAAACAGAGAGAGATGGACACGGGGGGCTGAGTTTGCTTCCTCCCTTTCTCTTTCTCCAGTTAGGGGTCTCAGTTCACAGGATGGCACCTCCTGCAGCTGGGGTGGGTCTTCCTTCCTCAGGACACCCGAATAGAAATTCCCAGCATGCATGCTCAAAGGTGTGTGTCCTCTGTGACTCCAAATCCAGTGAAGTGAAGATGAAAGTTAGCCATCACCCAGATTGGGGGGCTGGGCCAATATTTAACTTTTGTCCGGGTTATACGAGGCGGCAGGGGAACTGTCTAAGTTCTAAGCTTCCACTGGCTTTTCCTCAAGAAACAGGATGGGCCAAGAATATGCTTTAATTAAATCTTCTGCAGATATAAAGATGCATTCTGGGGTTCATGCAAAGGTCTTTATTGGGTGACTTCACTTCTGAGTCATTAGCTGGGCATAAGCATCAGTATTGTCTAACTGGGAGACTGAAGGCAAATTATTATATGCTCTAAGACTGACAAATACACAGGTCAATTGACATTCTTGCAAATTGCTCTGGTTCTGCTGCACAGCTTCCTGGGCATCTGTAGTTGATTAAATAAAGATTATGAGTAATGGGTCTCTGGAAGTTTAACTCCACAACAATCTAAGCAGATAGTTACTTTTTTTGCTTTTTTTTGTTTGTTTTTTTGTTTTTGTTTTTTTCCTAGACAGGGTTTCTCTGTAGCTTTGGAGCCTGTCCTGGAACTAGTTCTTGTAGACCAGGCTGGTCTACAGGACTGTTCCACAGAGAAACTCTGTCTTGAAAAACCACACACACACACACACACACACACACACACACACACACAGAGAGAGAGAGAGAGAGAGAGAGAGAGAGAGAGAGAATAGAAAACAAGATTCTGTCCTGAAGTATAACAGGCGTCAAACTTGTGATTTCTAGCAGGAGTAGATCTAATTACCAATGAAGCCATTGGTAAAACTTCTAATGTATTTTATCAGTTTGGTCAGTTTTAGTTTTAGAATACCATTTGTCTACTCACCCTTCCCAGACAAGGAAGAAAAAGACAGTTTCCAAACCTCACCGTACCACCTACTTTTCTTAGATCATACCCAGTGCCCACTGTGGGAGATCACAGTCTCTGGAAACGAGAGATGCGGGATGCTTATTAACTCTCAGCATTTACAATGGGATGTGAGAGGAAGCAAGGTGGTCCTTAAGAAGAAGTTAATGATGGGGTCAGCACAACAAAGCCTTTGCCAACCTCTTGGGAAGATCAGGAGTTGGCGCTGCTTGTCAGTTCGCTTGGGCACACACACAGCTGGACCTGTGTAGTCCCCGTGTCTCGTGGTCTTTGAGTGACATGGAAAGGATGTGACTGAGAGGAAGCCACCGAGGACCTGGAAGGAGCTGACAAGTGAAGGGTTTTTGCTGCACGAAGTCTCTGCCATGGTCCAGCCTTTCCTTGAGGGTGGATTGGATGATGCTCCTGTCCTAGCACAGCTTTAAGGTCATGCTCCTCAGTCCCAACTCTGCTTCAGCCAGACATTCTAGATGCAGAGCAGTTGTGGAACATGGAACAGCATCAACTTCAATATAAGTGAACAGCATGTATCTGTTTCTGAGATTTTAAAAATGGGGCATTATTTATTCATGCATATTTGGAACAAAGACATCCTCCTTTGCAACTTCTTTCTTACAACATGGACACTCACAAGCAATAGTGAATTGTATTGTCCTTTTTAAAATCTGCTAATAGAAAATCTTGAACGATTTCTGCTTTCCATTCTTCATTGGAAACACAGGGTCATTCAGCCGGCTGGGTCACTCACACATAGGAACGTGGACAAGAGTTAAGCTGGTCTCACAAGGCTGTCATGGGTTCCCTCTGCAGAGCTGAGTCACACATACAAAATCAAACTCCTTAGAAGGAAGTCTGCTACACAGTAACAAACAAGAGGAAGCCTCGTGGCTACAAACCTTGCAGGAAGGGAGCTTGAGGTTAGCGGAGACCCAGATTCCTAAATTGCAGAAATAAAAGCATGGTTTCAGTCACCAGCTGTGTACTTAGGGCCTGACATATTGCCTCTGTGTTTCCACAGATCCCACGGGAACACTGAAGGCCACGGGGACTGTCATCCCCCTAAAAGCCACCCCCTCCAGTCACCATTGCTCATTCCAGCAAGACGAGTATGAAAGCCAGACCTCCTGATTCCTAGCTTAGTGCTTGCCTCTCCGTCTGCTTACTCTCAACACTCCATGATGTTTACTTCGTATTCTTAGGGACACAATGACAAGCAAAGCAGTGTCTTTGTTCCCACGCTTGGTGCCACTCAAATGGCAGATCGCCACAGCAGATGCTGGGTGGGCTTGGGACCTGGGTGTGCTTTCTTTCTTGGTGTCCAGCTCCTTCTCTATCTCTGGTGGTTTGAATGAAACTGTCTTCCATAGACTCATAGGGAGTGGCACTATTTTGAAGAATTAGGAGGTGTGGCCTTGTTGGAGGAAGTATGTTACTGGGGATGGGTTTTAAGGTTTCAAAACCCTAAGCCAGGCCCAGTGACTCTCTCTATTCCTGCTGTCTTTGGATCTGAATGTAGAACTCTCAGATACTGCTTCAGTACCATGCCTGTCTTCACACTCCTACGTTCCCCAACATGATGACAGTGAACTAAACCTCTGAAACTGTAAGCAAGCCCCAATTATAAGCCCTCTTTATAAGACTTACCATGCTCATGGTGTCTCTTCACAGATGTGGGATGTTCTTCTGTATATGTGTTGCTTTATTGGTTGATGATAAAGCTGCTTCGGCCTATGGCAGGGCAGAATAAAGCCAGGTGGAAAATCTGAACAGAGATATAGAGAGAGAGTAGGCGGAGTCAGGGAGATGCCATGTAGCTGCCAAAGGAGACAGATGTCCCAGAACTTTTACTGGTAGGCCACAGTCTCGTGGTGATATACAGATTAATAGAAATGGGTTAATTTAAGATATAAAAGTTAGTTAATAAGAAGCCTGAGCTAATAGGTCAAACAGTGTTGTAATTAATACAATTTCTGTGTGATTATTCAGGTCTGAGTGGCCAGAAAATGAATAGCAATCTCTCTTTACACTTCTCAGAAATAGACCACTGATTAGGTTACTTTACCTGTGTGCATAGGGAAGCCCGGAGTGTATGGGGAGTTTGCTGAACCTCCCACTCTCAACGTTCTTATAATGACTGACTGAGGAGTGTATGGGGAGTTTGCTGAACCTCCCACTCTCAACGTTCTTATAATGATTGACTGAGCCAGCCATGGTGGCACATACCCACAATGCCAGCATTTGGGAAGTGGAAAGTGAAGAAGCAGGATCTCAAGATGACCCTTAGCTACACAGTCAGTTTGAACTCCTGACCTACATGAGATTCTGCCACAGACACAGAGATGTAAATCATCCCATTTCTTATCTCCTTGGGGACAGCTCTGAAGTAAGACCTACTGTGTCTCCAAGTCAACTTTTCAGCATTATTGCTCACCTTATTTTGTCCCTGCTGTGGAATAATCCTTCTGTACACCATGCATATGTATTACTGTCATTGGTTAAAAAAGAACTGTCTGACCACTAGCCGGTAAGGAAGTATAGGTGGGACAATGAAACTGAGAATGCTAGGAGGAAGAAGGAAGAAGTCAGAGGAGTCACCTGCCAGATGCACAAAATGGGATAGAGGTACAAGTCACATGGCAAAATATAGTTTAATAGAAATGGGTCAATTTAAGTTGTAAGAGCTAGTTAGAAATAAGCCTGAGCTATTGGTCAAACTAATTAACATCAAAGCCTCTGTGTGTTTATTTGGGAGCTGCTGACAGGAGAAAAACTTCTGACAAGTCTGTCTTTTTCCTGCACTGTTTACTTCCTCTGACATTCACTTGTACCGCCACCTTTCCCACTAAACAAATAAACAAATATAAAATAAAACCTGGAAGAAAAGGGGCTTACAAATACTTTAGTCCCTTCCTGTCGGGCAAAGTGGAAGGTAGCTGCCAGAGACTTAGGGCTGTTTGTGGGTAGGGGATTGATCAGTTGACAGAAAACTTGCCTGGTGCACAAGGCCCTGGGTTCCCATAAACTGTATGCTGTCAGCGTCTGTGACAACTTCAGAGGCAGAGGAGAGTTAAGAGTTCAAGATAATCCTCAAGGAGCTTGAGGCCAGCCTGAGATGCATGAGGCCCTTTAGCTAGGCAGCACTGGCCAGCTACAATACAGTGCTTACACTTTAACACAGCACTTACACCTCTTCAGAATAAAAAAAGCCCCTTTCGGTTTTTGGCTCGGAGGAGGCAACGGTGCAACTTTCTTTGGCCGTCCCAAATCCGGGTTCATCTGACACCAGCCGCCTCCACCATGCCGCCCAAGTTCGACCCCAACGAGATCAAAGTCGTGTACCTGAGTTGCACCGGAGGTGAGGTCGGCGCCACATCCACCTTGGCCCCCAAAATCGGCCCCCTGGGTCTGTCTCCGAAAAAAGTTGGTGATGATATTGCCAAGGCAACCGGTGACTGGAAAGGCCTGAGGATTACAATGAAGCTGACCATCCAGAACAGACAGGCCCAGATTGAAGTGGTGCCCTTTGCCTCTGCCCTGACCATCAAAGCCCTCAAGGAGCCACCAAGAGAAGGAAAGAAGCAGAAGAACATTAAACACAGCGGAAATATCACTTTCGACGAGATCGTCAACATTGCCCGACAGATGCGACACAGGTCTTTAGCCAGAGAACTTTCTGGAACTATTAAAGAGATCCTGGGTACTGCACAGTCTGTGGGCTGCAAAGCATCAAGAGAAAATATTTCAATAAAAGACCATCTGATAACCAAAAAAAAAAAAATGCCTTAGATGTTTAGGGCAAGAATTCTTAACCTGGAATCCAGAGACCTTTAAGTCAGAAGGTCTGAGAACCTGGATGGAGGGGAAAATGACATCACTTTATTTTCACTATCACTTAAGTGAATTCATTCATCCATTCTTTCCAGACAGAGTGTTAAGATAGAGCCTGTGCTGGCCTTGAAATTGTGGTCCTTCTGCATCTACTTCCTAAGTGCTGGGACTGCAGGCCTCTGCCACTATGACACCAGGGAAATCAGGGTGCCTCCTAGAATTCTTAACCTCATTAATAAAAGAATTTTGGGTTTGTGGCTAGAGAGGTATCTCAGCAATTAAGAAGCACTTGCTTCTTTTTCTGAGGACCTAGCACAATACTTACAACAGGCAGTTAACAATGCGCGCGCGCGCGCGCACACACACACACACACACACACACACACACACACACACACACACACCTTTAAAATGGAATTTAAGAATGGACTCAAACTGGCATTGGTGGTTCACGCCTTTAATCCCTGTGCTCGGGAGACAGGCAGGCAGGTCTCTGTGACCTTGAGGTCAGCCAGGGCTACACAGTGAGACCCTGTCTCAAAAACAAACAAACAGAAAGAATGGACTCGAGCAGAATCTCAAGGACAATTTGAGTTTAAGGGGCAACAAAGTCCCAGGACAGGGAAATCTTAGCGAGAGAGAGAGAGAGAGAGAGAGAGAGAGAGAGAGAGAGAGAGAGAGTTAAACCACATAGAAAGAGAGAGAGAGAGAGAGAGTTAAACCACATAGAAGCCAGTCACTCTGCCGACAAACAGCCAGATGGCAAGGAGGGGAGGGAAAAAAGCTCAAAATGGGAAGAAAAAACACACTTGGACTCTGGCCAGCATCTGAAAGAAACTAGAAGAAGGGAAAAAGGAAAAGTCGTCCCTTCCTGAGTCCTGAGACCCAATAAACTCTCCCTGGGTTCATAGGGACTGTGCTAGGGGGCAGGGACCTGGGGGAGAAAAGCCCATTATCTCATTAAAGGGCTAATTATTCTCCTACCTCCTTGGTCTCTTGGTCATGTGATTGGCTGAACCAATCAGATCAACTCCTTTTTATTGCTGTTGTGTTTTTGTTTTTTGAGACACAGTTTCTCTGTGTGTAACCCTGGCTTTCCAGGTCTGGCCTTGAACTCACAGAGATCCACCTGCCTCCTGAGTGCTGGGGTTAAAGGCGTGCACCACCACGGCCTGGCTCAGATCAACTCTTAAGGGAGGAGACAACTGCGTGTTTTTACCTAGAAATAGATCCCATTCTTGTGTCTTTCCCTTAATGGGCCTTCCATGGTACTCTAACACCTATGCCTAGCAAGGAACTGAAGTTTTAATGGTGTTAGGGTTTTGCAGAGGAAGCACCTCGGTGGATGGGGCCAAGGAATGTCAGAGGGATCACAGCACTCAACAGACCTCGATAAGAGATTTACTGGGGAGAGGGCATAAAAGGCCACCTCTGAGCCAGGACAGAAGAGAAAAGGGAGAGGGGTGTGATGGGGGAGCTTCATGAAGGGCACCAGCCTCATGGCAATATTACACTTTGTGTAATGTAATTTGATGGCTGGTGATGACGTGGCTGCTGCCACTGAGTGGGTCTTAGTTTGCCAACAAAGACTAGATAGTCAATAAAATTGACTGGTACCTAGGACTCCTAAACCGGACACCATGGTACATGCGCCCAGCAACTAGAGGTCGAAGGATCCAGACCTGTTCAAGGTAATTCCTTAGCTACATGGAACAAAACAAACCTTCCTGGGATGGTGTCACTAGAGGAAATCATGGGTGTTTTCATCGATTACTGTTGCAATAAATATTTCAGAGTGTTTATTATTTCCATAATTGGAAACTAAGAAAACTGTCAGTTGGATGAAAAATCCTTTTAATGGGTGAGGTAGCACACACTTACACTCTCAACCCTCATGGTCAGGAGATGGAGGCAGGAGAATGAGATGGGGTGCAGTAAATAAACTGCCAACACGGTCCATCCACGATGTGGTTAAGGTTGCTACTGCAGAGAACAGCCAGGGGCATCTGGGAGAATCCGGAGCAGGGAGAGAAAAAAAGAAGACTGAACACGGCTGGCTGACTGCGCACGGCCAGGGCTGGTGGTGAGAGAAGGGAGAATAATCAGTCAGTATGGAGAACACAGAGGTTAGAGTGAAAATAGCAGGAGGGGGAGAAGCTTGCCATCATAAATAAAACAAACGGTATCTGGGATGAGGGAAGCCGGGGAGGTGAGAGGTCAGCATCTTAGCAGGGACCGTTTGAGATGTAGATACTTGGGATCCTGCTGTTGTGGGGTCTCCTCTGGAGACGGCTGCTGGAGCAGAGGTAGAAGCCAGTGAAAAGTCTTTATAAACTGGCACTGGGTGTTTAGGAATCCAATATAACATCCAGTCTTCCTCGGGGTGGGCTTTTAAGCACAAAAACCATGTTCTGGGCTGGCACACTTCAGTTAACAAGAACAGTTAGCCAGAGGTAGAACTACAGGAGCCTAAAAGCAAGTCAGCACATTTAGAGACTTTCCCAGAACTTTGATGGATTTTTTGTTTTGGCAGGTGGTACTGTCTATGTGCTGAGTTTTGTGGTCTGAATGATACTTCCATCATGGAGTCAGTTGTGCTAAGGTCTGGGGGCCTCCAAAGGTGTGTGGCCCTGTTTGTTATACCAAGGGGGCCTGGAAACCAGCATGGGCTTTGATATTTTACCACAGGCAGCCCTGTGATCCTTCTGCCAGAGGTAGGGAATCTTTGGCAGGTGGGAACCAGTATTACAAGTTCCTGAGAAAAGCTGGCTTTTATCTAACTGCCAGAAAGCATACAGTCCAGTGTGAGCTCATTTCTGGGTATTTGGACAGACTCAGATGTAGCTCTTCTGCTGTATAACAAATTCAAGTCCGTTGAGAGGAAGAGAAAAAGGAAAGAGAAGAAAAAGGCAGAGGGCACCATCAAAACATAACAGGAACAAACAACAACCCCTCTGTCTCTTAATGCTACCCAAGCTGGCCTTCAACCCTGCCAGTCTTCCTGTTTCCGGCTCCTAAGTGTTGAGATTCCACATCCCGTGACCGAGTGAGGGAATCCAGGGTTTTGGGGCAGAACTTACTTAGGGCTCCTGTCTAGGGAGGTTAGGGATAGAGGAGCAGGCCCACTAGCAGTGCTCCTGACTCCCCTAGACAGGAGCCCGCAGTCCTTTCAAGTTGCCATCCAGTCCGGGGCAGATGCACTTCAGTTTTGGAATTTCAGTTACTGTCGTTGAGGTAATGTGTGGCCTTGTGCTTTTCAAAGCTCCATTTCTGGGGCTGCCTTGGGCTGGATGAACCTTTTAAAACATGTTCTGAACAGCTCTCGCTCTGAGTTTTACTTATCAAATAATACTTACTGTGTGTATTCTGACCTGGTGTGATTATGTAGGTGTGTGTGTGTGTGTGCGTGTGTGTTTGTGTGTGCGTGCGTGTGTGTGTGCGTGTGTGTGTGTGTGCGTGTGTGTGTGTGTGTGTGTGTGTGTGTGAGAATGTCTGTCTGTCTGTCTGTTTTAAGATGCTCTCAGCGGTAAATCCATTGCACAGTTCAAATAGAAATTTCAATTGCTAATTTTCCAGCACGGTACATGCGGAAGGCTTGTTACAGGTTTAGTGTGGAAGGCACATGTTTGACATTCTCAGGCCATACCCCTCTCTCAGATTGCATTTGCTTTCCAGAAATAAGAACCTGGCATTGTGAGGGTGTGTGTGTGTGTGTGTGTGTGCACGCGCGCACGCGCGGGAGTCCCCCCTGTGTTTCTTTGTTGTTGTTTTTGGGGGAGGGTCTGAAAACGGCTAACACTGGCTTTGAACACCTGCCTGAGCTTCAGGAAGTACAGCCGTGCGCCTTTCTTCCTTTCTAGTTGAAAAAGCAGAACGAGTTTATTTGGGCTTCGGGCTCCAGACTGCTAGAGTCCGTGATGACCGAGTGCAGACATGATGTCCCTTGTCTCTCTCACAGGGACTGAGCCCCTGGCCACTAAGACAGAGTTTTTATTTTAAGTCCCTACACGGTTTCACACCTTCCATCACCTGGGAAAGAGCTGTCTGTGTTCCACATTGGGTGCCCAGAACAAGGAAGTGAGGGGAGATGGAAGAGACACAGTCACGGAAATGTGGAGAACTAGTCTATCACCAGGTCATAGGAGCCATTGGGAACAAAAGCATTTTTATTTGCTTCAGGCTCAGAAAATCATGCCAAGAGCTTCGGGGAAGAACTGGGTGGGTCTCTCTCCAAACCACTTCCTCGCTCTATTCTCTCTCAGGTGGTCAAGACGCGGCCATCTTAACTGGTAACAAGTGTCATTGTGACTTTTGGCGGCATGGCTCGTGGCATCTCAGCTGATTTTTATTGGGTATTTCCCACATACTTCATTGTACACCCTGTGTATGTATCAGCTGACTGACCTGGCACAGGAGCTCCATAAGGTGGGATTCACCATCCGCAGCTGAGGGATTGTACGGGGGCTCACATGCAGTCAACACCACGGAAGCGTGTGATTTTAATTGACCCAACTTTTAGACTTTGACCTGAGCCTTGGAACATAAGTTTGGTTTCAGTCTTTGGAAGTAGGAAGAAGGCAAGGAGCTAATATAAGCCCAAGGTGGCAGCAAGAAAACTCTACAGGATTGTGTGGGTGACTGGAAGGTCACTGGCTTCTCCGAAGTATCTGTCTACTGACTTGGAGTCATGACTTGGTGTTTCAGTTGAGGGTTTCTGCTGCTGTTAAACAAAACAAAACAAAACAAAACAAAAAACAAAACAAAACAAAAAAACCCACCGTGACCAAAGTCAGCTTGGGGAAGCTTTACACTTCTACACCACAGCTCATTGCAATAGAAAGTCAGGACAGGAATTCAAGGCAGGAACCTGGAGGCAGGAGCTGAAGTAAAGGCCACACAGAGTGCTGATTACTGGTTTGCTCCTCAAGGTTTGCTCAACTTGTTTTCTTTTCTTTCCC